AAAAAAATACACGAATCAAATGAATGTTGATGTAAGAAGTCAAAATTCGAATCCTCCTCTAATTAAAATAAGTAAATCATCTCCTTTCTAATTAATAAAAAATATTGATAGATATAATGAAGAGACCATAGAAGAGATAACGATTACAAATATTTCTAAAATCTATAATCATTTATCAAATATAGAACGGACACGTATTTTCATATGCGCGTGATTTTAATTGCATGGTAATTGAAGACTTGAGAGAAAGATGATATACACTAACAAGAGGGAAAAAATAATAATAATCTCATGATAATACAATTGTTTATACATGAAATAAAACAGTCAAGAACTCATGGAACAAAAAATATTCATTAATAACCGTAAAAGCAAATTATGTACCAAAACAGATCCCTGCGTTTTCTTAAGGAAAAAAAAAATACACGAATCAAATGAATGTTAACAAGGAAAAGAAAAAAAGCCCCAAAAAAACACCCTAGGAAGACAATAGTACATTAATTAACAACTATTTTCTTTTTTTCTATCCACCTCTTCTTGGCATTCTGAATTTCTTACTATTTTCTTTTTTTCTATCCACCTCTTCTTGGCATTCTGAATTTCTTCTTCCCTCATCCTCAAGAGTTCGAGAAGACATTGATGATACTGCACATCAATAGCATCAAGCTCCCCCTTCAGCTCATCATACCGATCTTTGCCCACTAGGGACAACTCAGATAAGGAGCAAATGCTTGACATGTCAGGGCATGCGTCATTCATAACAACAGAATCACCAGAACCAGCTTCATAGCTCTTCTCCTTAAGCCCACCCTGAACCATACAATCTGGACTGGAACCGTACCCATCTGAACCTGTGCAGCATTCATCAGAACTGTACTTGGCCGTTTCTGAAACTTTGACATTACCAGCACATGAAGCAGTAGGGACACCACACTCGGCTGAGCAGGCTGAGGTATCTGAAATCATTGATGCTTGGTTATCTTGGTCTTCGGCATATGCCAATGGTGACAGAACATTTTGATGTGCAGGATGATCCCCACATGAACTGTTAGCTCCGCATGATGAACTTTCAGATGAAGGTTTCCAGCCCGGTACAAGCTTCATAATCAATTTGTCAATTAACTCAGCTATGACAGAGACATCTTCATGTGAAAGATCAAGTTGCTCAACCATTTCCCCAGCAATTGACATTGCAGTATCAGAATCAAGATAGAACTCAAAATGGATATTCCTCACACGACCTGTATAGACAAATAACATTCAGGTTCACTTTATGAAAAATAAGGGGAAACAATTAACCCATTTTCATGGCAGATGCACTTACCACAGGTATCAGCAATGCGCAAAGTTAAAAAGACGGTATTCTCCGTATTTTGTTCAGCTCTTAACCTGAACTCATTATTCTCCGTGAACCTCCCAAACTCCAGAGCTGAAGAGTTAGAAGTTTCATTGACACTTTTCCTACAAGATCCAATAGAAAACTTCTGGTCGTCAGTATCTACGTCCATAGGGCGAGCTTCGGGCCGTGGCAAGTTCACCAACTTGGGCACAAGATTGGGTAATTGCGAAAGATCACAACTGCGCTCCTTCAAATTGTCAGTTGCAAGGAATGGATCTTTCAAGAGCTCTGTCGCAGTCAATCTCATAGATGCTGGAACTAGACACTTCTCTATGAACTGCTTGACTTGAGGATTTTCCACTTTACTGAGTGAAGCAGGCTTTATACCCTGAAACAAAGTTATGAGAAACATTAGGCAACTGCTTAGTAAAACAAAAAACTGGAGGAAATTCATAACGCAGGTGATCAGAAACTTACAGAGGTAACCTTCTTGTAAATTTGTGCTGGATTTTTACATTCACTATAAGGGTATTCACAAGTCACCATTTCTAACATGCACATGCCAAAAGAATAGATGTCGACAAGTTCATTGTATTCCTCATCATAAAGCTCTGGAGCCATGAATTCCGGGGTGCCAATTACGCTATGGGCAGTAGGCTGCTGCATGACTATCGCCAACCCAAGATCTCCAATTTTAATTTCTCCATTATTTCCATTAATAAATACATTGTCACACTTCAAATCTCTATGAATAATTGGAGGATTGTGTGAATGCAGATAGTGCAAGCCTCGAAGAATCTGCCTTGCCCAGTTCTTAATGGCCTTCATATCAACATTCTTATGCTTCTTTCGGTACCTAAATCCAGACTAGTAGCAATTAGTATTTGATAATGTAAGCCACGTAAAAACAAGAATTGCTATTAAAAAAAGTCAGCGAAACTCACTGCCTTAAACTCCCGGAAGTGAATAACTCTGTTATCATGTTGATGGTCTTGTTCTTATCATCAACCCAAGAATTATGGAACTTGACGATGTTTTGATGTTTTAATGACTTCAGAAGATGAACCTCCGAATACAATCTTTCAAGCTGTTCTGGCGACTGCAAAACATCCTCAATATTCACTTGGCACCAGGCTACTTCTATTCCTTCGACCTCATCAAATGCCTTATATCTACATTTTACAGAGCATACAAATAAGTTCAAAAATAAATTCGCAAATGAAAAATACTTAGAACCTTAGAAACCAACAAGAAAGAAACCGATTCAGAAAATGGTTAGAGAAGCATACACAGTCTTGAATGCTCCTCGCCCCAACACTTCGTCATACTGGAGGAACAAACACAAATTCATATAAGAATTCTATCACCAAATCCAAAAAAAAAGCAAGCAAGAAGATGAAAATTTCTATCCTAAAACCAACACCATGCATTTACAAACAAACAATTAAAATTCTAAAATTAGAGAGTCAAAAGAATTCGAAATTGGTACCCGCAAGTATTTCCCAGTCGGATCTTTCTCCACAACGCCGCCATCGTCACAATCAGATTTTCCACCAACCAAACCACTACAGGAATCCATAACGAAAACAATCTCCCCAAAGAAACAACTTTTGTTTGTTCTTCAGAGCGAAAACGCAGAAAACGATCCTCGCAAATCCTATCAAAGCTGCTTGCTTGTACCCCCAACCGGAATCAGAAAAAGACGGTGTTCAGAAAATGCCTCGCAAGCCACGGAGTACGAATCGACCGCCGATCGAAGACGAAACCTGCAGCCGATAAACCACATATCCCTGAATTCCGTACCCGAATTCCGGTTCGCGACAGAGCTCCACATTGTTAAACCTATCCGAGACTCAGCCATGGCGCTCTCTGCATCATTTGGGTCGTCACCAAATCAAGAAACGAAACCCAAAATCCTCAAAAACCGAGAGCAGGGGCCTAATTGGGGATTCGGAACCCTACAGAAACCCTGTAAACGAGAAAGCGAGCAACGGAGAGAGCGAGAGAGATTGGAGAGGGAAGCCTAAGGATTGGGAACGAGGGAAAGGGAGGAAGGAGAGGTGTAAATGTAGGGCTGGGGAAGAAGACATCGTTTTGTAGTTGGTTTAGGATTTGGGGATTTTGATTGATTTGGATCGAGAGATTGAGTCCTTCTATGATTAGATGGTACACGCTGTCTTTGGGTTGGATTTGGAATTGGAAATTATTATTTTTTAACTTTTTTATTTTTGGGGTTTTTAAAGTTTAATTTAGAAATTAGGAGAGTGATTAGGGAAAGACAGCTCAGCTTCGAGCGGTTATATTTTTTTTTTTATTATCTTTCACCAGCATTCTTCTAGCAGGCACTAAATATTCCAGATATTATTTTTTGATAAATAAATCAAATTAAATGAATGTATAGGTTAAAAGTTGAAGATGTGATGATAAGTGATAACTTTTGTGGGGTGTGGGGAGAAAATTAATTGGATTTTGAGGAATATGTTTCTTAAAGTACATATATACGCATATAATACACGAATGTACTATGTATAGGTTATCTTCTTGTGACAACAAGAAAGTATTTTGATTGTAACATCATATGTTACTCAATTTTTAATTTCAATATTTTTCCGTAAAGTCCATCTAGGACGAAGAAAAGGAGAAGACGAGGTAAGAACGATGAGAATGATGGAGGAGGTGATTTGTCACAACTTGATGAACTACTTCCGTGTAAGGGGTCAAAGGTTAGGACCAACTTGATTTCCGAGGCTAATAACGAGCTAGTAGTTTTGGGAAACAATCATCACAAACGAATCATAAATCACATCATTGGGGATTTTGATTGATTTGGATCGAGAGATTGAGTCCTTCTATGATTAGATGGTACACGCTGTCTTTGGGTTGGATTTGGAATTGGAAAATATTTTTTTTAACTTTTTTTTTTTTTGGGGGTTTTTAAAGTTTAATTTAGAAATTAGGAGAGTGATTAGGGAAAGACAGCTCAGCTTCGAGCGTTATATTTTTTTTTATTATTATCTTTCACCAGCATTCTTCTAGCAGGCACTAATATTCCAGATATTATTTTTTGATAAATAAATCAAATTAAATGAATGTATAGGTTAAAACTTGAAGATGTGATGATAAGTGATAACTTTTGTGGGGAGAAAATTAATTGGATTTTGAGGAATATGTTTCTTAAAGTACATATATACGCATACAATACACGAATGTACTTTGTATAGGTTATCTTCTTGTGACGACAAGAATGTATTTTGATTGTAACATCATATGTTACTCAATTTTTAATTTCAATCTTTTTCCGTAAAGTCCATCTGGGACGAAGAAAAGGAGAAGACGATGAGAATGATGGAGGAGGTGATTTGTCACAACTTGATGAACTACTTCCGTGTAAGGGGTCAACGGTTAGGACCAACTTGATTTCCGAGGCTAATGACGAGCTAGTAGTTTTGGGAAGCAATCATCACAACTCACCAAACATCACAAACGAATCATAAATCACATCATACAAATGAATGAATGGTAAAGCTTATTTAGATTTTCAAGTCTATATATAACATAAAGTCAGTAGTATCATTATTTCAACCCCAGCTTCCATTTTATGGCCGCCTTGTTTGAAAGAATATGCAATCAAGATAAACTACACATCCACAAGAGAAGAGAAGAGAAGAGAAGAGATGGGAGAGAATGGTATCATATCATCTATCTTACCTCATCATATCATTGTTGGTTCTAATAAAATGGACATAGTTGCTAGTATATAGATATGCAAAACAGAGTAAACCTACTACATTTTTAATAACACTCTCTGCATTAAACTTCTCTAAGAATTCAGCTCCAGAAAAAGGCTGGCCTGAGGATGCAACCCGGCTTCTTTCAAGGATAACAACAGCTTCTCCGGTCCATATACCACTCGAGGGAAGTTCGAAACCAGACTGTAATTCTCCACATCTAAGCAACCCAAAGAATCAACATAATCATAGAGAGTTTGGATTTTTGCACTACTGTCAAACCTCCTTTCCTTGCGTTCTCCGGTTGGGAACCTCACCACAACCTATTTGTTAAATTGTAATTCACAAGCATGCATTAATTACACGCAGAACTGAACATGTAAAAATTTGATAGTAGTTATCTGAAATATCAATACATTCAAAAGGTACAAGAAAATAACGAGAAAATTTGGGTTCTAATGCACGAGGGATTACTTGTGTAACATTAGGTCCTTTTTCAGGTTCGGCACCAAGCGACAAGGCTTTCTCCTGCCGCATCCTAGCTAGTGCAGCCTCTTTCTCCGCAGCTTCACGTGCTGCTCTTTCACGAGCCTCTTCTTCTTCCAAGCGCTTCCTCTCAGCTTCAGCTGCTTCTCTTTCCAGACGTTCTTGCTCTTCCCTCCTCTGGTTTTCCCTTGCCTGAAGCAAAGAAACATAACAATGAGGCAATGGGAAAAGAACAACAACCTAAGAGCTTTATAAAACCTAAGTTATTTGTCTGTGACGTGAAAGGGCAAAGGGAGCATGCTATTAGTTTAAACTATAAACATACTTGATCAGCTTCAAGTGCTGCTCTATAAGCAGCATCTTGCTCCTCCCTTAAACGAATGTTGTTTCTCCTTTCTTCTGCATCAAGCCTTGCTGCAACAAGAACAGGAGCACTTTCTTCAACCACTCTGTTCAATATTGCGAGCATTTCTTCAGGAGACTTTGGCCCCTCAACCTGCCAAACATGACAAAGATACTCATTAAGGATAAATGAACAACAATAAGTAGTCACCATTCATATCTAGTTACCAGAAAGTTGAAAGGAAAATAGGGAAATGGAAAGGAAAAAAATGCACACACATTAAAGTCAAAACATTATCATATACACTAAACCCGCTTACAAAACATCATGTTCAAGATGCATAAGGAAAACATGTTAAAGGTAAGACATTAAACAAAACGCTCATACCAAGCTATGGACGTGCAGAATTTACTCGGTAAGAGCTTATTTAAACTCAAATAGCTCAATCACAAATTTTCCATCCACCTAAAGTCCAAAAAGAAACAAGAATACAACAACAAAAAATACAAGATTTAAAGAGAGGGAAAAAAAAAAGGACGAAGAATAAGAAAGCTAAACTACAGGAGTAGGTTGATGTCTAACCCCGTTTCCACTGATGACCATTAACAAACCACCAAAGAATCGTGTTTCTGCTAAAATTACTCACACCAAAGTGAACATGCTAAGCAATGTTTCCATGCAAAGTTTCTGTTAGCATTACATGAAAATGGGATGTTTGTAGCACTCTGAACAATCCGAATAGGGAAAGCCAATGAACTCAACCTTTAGTTCGATAAAAAGACACCGGTCTGTAACATTCCCAGTTAAACCCCAGAATCACTTCTGCTGACACCAGTCGACTCATTTACAAGAAACAGAAAGGAGTTACTTAAAATGAGTCAAATGTGTTCTTTCAGTATGTCATGCTGATAACCGATGAGATAACCACCCAAATTGGAACTTTATCTCTCGAGAGAGCTAAGAAACCTTCATTTTCTAGCTTCAGTACGGCCTAAGAAGATACAATAACATACATGCAATAATTTCCATTCCTAATTAAGCCTACAGAGCTATGAATTTCGTATAATCTTAGATACCAATAATTCTAATACGAAAAAAAAAGGCAAGCAAAGAATAATATACCTGTTGAAGCAGCACGATCCTCTGGTTCGTGGAGGCCATAACGACGGCACAAAAGGGGTATCTTGAGGCCTTCAAGCTATTACTCATCTTGAAGCCTTCACTGGCCCGAATGCTCCCTCCCCACGACACGAAATTCTCGTTGATAAACGCCACCAAGGTCTCGGAGCACAGAGTCCTCTCACAAAACAACGGCGTATCAGGATGGTCTGGCGAGTGCAAGTACACGAACATCAGCTTGAACGAGTTCCTCGACCTCTGCAACGCGTCCATAAACCCTTCGCTTACGAAATTCGGCCTCCTCGTCCCGTAATCCCTCTCGAAACTCGCCACGAACTGCATCGCTTCATTCGCCACCGCCGACACCGACAATAATCGGGCCGACGACTCACCGTCCCGACCCGACCCGATTCCAATCATTCCGAGAGAGTAGGAGAGCACTCCGCCCGCGGCCCACAGTCCAAGACCAATTGCGCCGGAAATCAACCCTAAACTACCAGAAATTACCGAAATCGGCAAAGTGATGATCTTCCAAGCCAAACCGGGTGGTGCGACGGCATTTGATGACGGTCCAGATGGATGCGACGGTTCTCCGCGTTGAGAAACGGAGTATAGGCCACCACCGACACTGCCGTCGGGGACTGTGGAGGTGGTGCCGGAGGCGGAATTCTCCGGCGAAGGTGTGTCGTTCGTGGTGGTGGTGGTGAAGGCGGAGATCGCGAGCTCGAGGTCCCAGCCATGGGCGGTGAGGATCTGCACGCACAAATCGGAGTCTTCGAGGCCTGTGATCGCTTGAAAATACGCTAGCTTGTCGTTTACATCATCCATCTCTGTACGGATAGTGTTGCAGAGATTGGTACGAATTGAAAAGAGAGAGAGAGAGAGAGAGAGAGAGAGAGAGAGAGAGAGAGAGAGAGCGAAGAACAATACGACGACGTTCTTGGAATGTTCGTTCTCTGAGAGATGACTGGGGGTTTTTGGCATCCACGGAGAGACGGAAGGTCATATAGGTTTGGGTGGGATACCAGAAATAACCCTTACTTCTTTGGAAAATAACGAAATAGCCACACTCTAGGAATTCGAAAATAATAATTGATGTGATCTCCTTCTTCTATCCCTTGGAGCAGAAAACCTTGTATGAAACTTGGAGCAGAAATTCTTGTATGAAACAGAAATAGAACTAAACGGAAATAGTACTATTTTCGTAAAAAAATTATCATGCATGACATACGGTTGTTAACCGCCACATTTCATGTATGCATTTCTCGCCTTGGCGGGTTGGGAAACGGACTATATAACTGTCAGGATTAAAGTACCCCACAACGTCGTTTTGTTCAGCCTAATAAATTTGTTGGAAATTTTGTCGGTGAAAATAAAGAATTTTGATAACCCAGTGAAAACAAAAGTTACTGATTTACAGCTCCTAGTTGGTAAAACTAGACAAAACAAGTCTAAAATAACTGACTGCAACTGCATTGGCCAACTATACAACTGAACTGTAACTACTCTACTAGGAACAGCTGTTTGTGCTCCTCATACAACAGTTAACAGATAACAAGAAGCAAAGAAAATACAATTATCATTTTTTTTTCACTTGATCTCCTGAATCAAAACCTTGCTTCTTGGTTCTGCTTTCTTGTCCACTTTCCCAGGCCTTGACGCAGCAGCTTCATAATTCAAAGCCGAACCTTTCTCTGCCTTTACAATGGCTGCCAAGGGAGACCAAGCTTCCCCGGGTTGCTCATGGACCCAACACATGATGAAATAAATTTTCCTCTCGGCCAGCTTCAGCTTACTCCTAATTTCAGCTCTTCTCGACTTTTGTGGTTTCTCTGATTTCAGTTCCCTCTCCCCAGCCTGAACCATCCTCTGCAGATCACAAAGCAAGCAAAACAAAGCAGGGGTTCCTAACGTTAATAGGGTTATTACATCATCTATAAGACCGAGTCCAAATTGCAAGCCACCCATCTGTCTGAAAGCAGGAGAGCAGGTTTGTTCCAGGCAATAAGACAGAGCTTCCAGGATGGTCTCCGGTTGTCCACCTTGGCCCAATACAGAGGACACTGACAGTAGTACCATGGCTGATCCTGTGGCGTCTGATAGCCAATCTCCATTGTAAAGACGGAGTGTGAAACAGTAGCTATATATAATGTCAACCAGATGAACAGCTAAGGTTGGTGATGGCTTTGTAGAACTAAGCTTGCTGACTGGAGGCAGTGGGGTGTCAGGCCCAGGTGGAATCTCACTTGCTTGATTACTTTCTAGATCATCTTCTGTTGACATTGATTCCTCCTCATTGGCAAGCGGTTTGATAAGTTGTGTTCCTTCCTTGCTGAATGCTATTGTTCTGGCAGAAGGCTTCAACCACCATGGATCCCAAGGCTTGATCATCTTGCTTAGTTCACCGGATGCAACAGCTTTTTGGAATAGTTTCTTCTCTTCTGCAGATAGATCATCAAAACTAACTTGAACTCCTGCAAATATTAAAGAGAATCAGCTCGTGTCAGCATTAGGAAATAGTAAGTAGCTCAGAGAACAGATAATTCGTAACACATTAAATATACAACTTTAAACTAAGAAGTGCAAAAAAATTTATAACAGATTTGAAATGTAAAATCAGAATGAATGAAAGATAGGAAAGAACTTGAGCGCCAGAAACTAAATACATCATTGAAAAAGGATAGACAGGAGTGTACCAGAAAGCACTTTTTGAATGGTCTCCTCAGACAGAGTAGAACCTGCAAAAAAATATTGAAGATTCTGGTCAGCAATCCAATTTGCTGTAAGAGAAAAAAAAACATTAAAGGGCTATAAGTTTAACATGAATGTATTTTAGGAAGTCTATAATAAACTGAAAAACTAGCCAGTAGCCCTCATTAGGCTTCAGTGATCCTTAGACCAACTACAAAAACTATCACTCTTCACCACAAGGATACTAATCAGCAATTTTATCTAAAGGCCAACTTAGGCTTATTGCATGCATAATCAATAAGACCCGGTTCAAAATTGCACCGGAGCTGCTTCTATTCTATGTACTCAAATATTGAAAAACAATCACTGCTCAAGTAAACTTTGCACATAGCATCAACAACACAACAATCAGTAAGCATAGCATCAATCAAAATCGGCATATTCTTCCAGCCACCCTCAATCCCCAATAAACATGTATACCGAGACCCAACTCTAGCAAAACCCTCAATCAGAAACTTCCCTCTCCCTAAGCAACAACTACCCTACTATCTTACAATGCATGACATGCAAAATCCCAAGCATACAACAAAAGGTTCATTGAAGTTGAAAGCCATAAATTTCAAAGAAAAACAAGAACACCAATAAACTCAAATAATAAGCCATACCAGCCTCATCATCATCCATGGCATCAGCTTCTTCTTCAGAATGAAATCTTTTCAGTATGTCCAGCATTTTCTGTTTAGTTTCATCGTCCGGTCCCAATTGCCCAAGTTCCCCCTCCACATTTTCCCGCATGAACGATTCGGTGCATCGAAGATTATGAGACTGCTCAACCAAAATTGCAAAACAATCAAACACAACACCAAACTCCAATCTCTGTAAATTACTAGAACAATAAAAAGCCTACCTTGTAGCAGTGCAGAGAACAGTATCGAGAGTTGCAGCGAGGGCATGTGTATTGTGAAAATTGCTTCTGGCAACTGCATTCAGAAAATCAAAAATACTTGTATCAAATCAAAATGGGGAAAATTCACACAAAATTAACGAACTTTGAAAAGGAAAGAGGGGTGGGATTGGAGAAGCTCATACACGTGGCAGACGATTCGGGAAGGAGGGTCCAAAAGGGGCGTGGTGGAGGGTTTTTCAGAGGTAATAATGGGCTCCGCCATGGTCAAAGCTGTTCAAGCTTCGAAGGGTTTTGGAGGCAAGGACGAAGTGAAGTGAAGAGAAAGGACCGTCGAAAACTCGAGAAAGAGGCTTTCTTTTTTAGTCATATGGGAGGCCCAAATGAAACTGAGTGTGGACTAAGCCTAAGGAAACGACATGTCGTTGGATACGAAGTTGGAAAGTGTTGTGTTTCTAGGTTTTGAGCAATAAGCATCGCCTGTGTGATCCTAACCCCAACCTAAAGGGATTGAAAGGCTTGGTTTTTCGGTGAGCAAACAAAGCTGGGTCTTTGTGTTTTTACGGTGACTGATGAAAATTTGGTCTCTTTGATTCGAATCAACAGCACCCAAAAGGAAAAGACTTCAATTTTCACCGTTCAAAATAGCACCATTTCGATTTCGACGAAGATGGGTGTTAATCACATTAATTAGTTGATGTAGTATGTACATATCAACTGCCACATCATATGGTATACAAATGTGATAAGACTAGTATTATTTTATTTGCACGATATCTTGCTTGTGAACATTACACCTTTCTTTGCACAACAATCTCTCTCTTTTTTTCTTTTTTTCTTTTTTTCTTTTTTTCTTTTTTTCTTTTTTTCTTTTTTTCTTTTTTTCTTTTTATGGATATGGAAATGTGTTTGTCCTTTACAACAATTTTTACCCAGGAAGGGAGATTTTCCTTGTATGATCAAATAGCAAACTTTGGGGAACAAGAGGTGACATAATGTGTTATAAAGATGAAAGCATAATGCTATTACATGTACACTAGTGATAGTTTGCCAGAACAAGTCCAGTAGCCATATGCATTCGGAATCTCAGATCCAAATATACACACTGAACAAATAATGATTTTCAATTGACAGATTTCAACTGGGGTCCAAGTTGTTAGATTTGTATAACTTTACATCATCTCTTTAGTATTTTTGCCCCTTTCCGTAAATCTGCCAAGAACTTTATACAAATTCTAGACCCTCTGAAGGGCGCCCTGGTGATCTGGTACAACTTTATTAGTAGTCTGGTTTTGATTAGTCTTCCTATCTTCGACGGACTTGAATTCAGCCAACCCTGCTAGTTCTTCAACTGCACTGACCATGCCTTCAATCCTTGAAACAATTTCAATCAGTAAAGAAGCTAAAGTTACAAGTGGAATTATTTCCATGAGAGGAACTGCCTTTTTGGAATCTTGCTCCGTGCTCTTGTTTTCGGGACATTCAGCTTCTTGCAGTGGCTGTGGAATGAACAAAGTAGGGAGAGATTTTAAGTCCTCTTGGAGCTCCAGCACTGCATTGTTCATTTCTCCAACTAGGAAATCTATTGTAGATGACTTCTTCATTGTCTTCATAGTCTTTGCAAGCTCTTTTATGACCATTGAGGAGTCAGAGCTTACTTTTATGGCAATGTTGCTGATATGCTTCTTTGTGAACTCAGAGGCCTGTTTATTCAGATTAAGTTGTTCAAGTTAATTCAGTCAATGTTGCATTGCTGACATATTTCCATGTAGAACAATAATTTGGTTCAGAATATAACTTGTAGAAAAATACCTCAATTTCAGAATTGACACAACCATTGAGGGCCTCGATGCAATAAGCGCAGTTGCGCATTGATGCCCCGATTTTGAGGTATTGTTTCCATGGATGCCTGAAGTTGAAGCGGCCATGTGCAGGCTCCCATCTTGCAAAATTGGCCTACAAAAGACAATGCCACTGTGAGAAAGAGAATGTTTTAAGTAACTCAATAAAACCAGGGACTTATGTTCCTGTTACATACCATGGCTTCTTCTGTTGCCTTTGAACTTAGAACACATTTGTAGCCAAGCAATTTTTTATCAGATTCTTTATCACCATCAGCAAGGCCTCCACTATCATTGAAATATTCAGCAACACAACCTGAAAAATATAGGGGCACTTAATGTCACTGACATTGGCCTAAACTTAACCACAGGTTGGTATTTATTTAATGAAACCAAAAGTGGTATTTGATTAAAGTACGTACCATCTAAAGAACAAGCAAGTTTGTCCATGTTGCGAGTGATAAGCATATAGAGTTCCTCCCCAGCCCAAATGGGGCAAATAACCATGGTTATGATTATGCACAAGGAAGTCCCAATGATGATGGTGGAGATTCTTTGACTGGCCATATCCAATAATTTATCCACCCGGTAACCGGATACTGAAACTAAGCTGAATGTGAGGATGAAGATCATAATACCGTAGTCAAATCGGGTTTTCACAGATGGTATAAATCTTGAGAAGGTTGCTGCAGAACCTGAAGAACAAAAAAACAATAATAAGAACAATAACCCATGAAAAGTCTTCTCTATAGCTAGTCACAATTAGAGAACATTAATATATAATACAGGACTACATACCTAATAAGAAAACTGAAATTCCAGTAATGAAAGGCTCAAATTCCTCTCCGGATTGGTTTGCAATCCAATGGATGCCAATGGCAAGAAAACCAGCAAGAAAAGTTCCACAAATTCTGTTTATGCTTTTACATAAAGTTGCACCTGCATTTTAACCAGTATGAAATATTTAGCTTCAGGCAAGTCAATAATTTTACACATACATATTTATTGAACTCAATTGGCTTAAAGATCATGACAAGGAACTTACCAACATTGTTTTCAAAAACAACCACAACTGTCATAACTGCCCACATGGCATTTCCTCCCACACCTTCATACAGTGGCCTCATGTAGTAAAAAAGTGAGACAACAGTGAGGGCCATCCCTACCTTCAGGCAATGAATCACTTTTCTGGGCTCATTATGTCCCAAGTCCCAAGCTTTCTTCAGGAACTTCCACACTTTCAAAACCAACCCTCCAATCAGACCCTTCAAAGCAAGCCAGGCTATTTTGGCAAAACCTGCATCAGGAGCCAATACTTCAGATGACCCATCTGCCATTGTTATCCTCCATTCCATTCCACTGGCCACTTCCTTCTCCTGAGCCATTTTGATAATGACAACAGAAACAAAACCAACTTTGGGAGCTGCTTGATAAAACTTAAGCTGCTAAGTTGTCAAGTTGCCAAAGTCCTCAAGCTCTCATGCAGAGGAATTGTTAAGCTTTGGTGAGGAAAGAAGACTGACAATTGGAGTACATATATACTAAGTGGGATTTTGGTATCTCATAGTGGTCTGAAATAAACAAATAAAAACATTTAAACAATAAAAAAAAAGTTTTCCAATGGCATGACAATGTCAGCCGCAAGAAGCCAATGCACTTCTTTTTGTCATTTTGGGTAGGTCAGATTGGGACTCAAGGACACATGTTAATCCAGAACTTTCATTAATCCTTCCCTCTCTGTTCTCTCAGAACAGGTAAAAATGCATTTCAATCTTTTAGTCCCACAGTTCTTTACAAGTGTATCCAATTAGGCCATTTTTATCACTTCTTAAACCAACAGAACAGTGTTCAATCTTGGAAAAGCAGCACTTTTTTTTAATACAAGTGTCTGCACCAAATTGCACTGAAGAGTCAAAACTGATATTTGGATATGGTAGAATTATGTGCAAGGCATGTGTCACTTGTTCTGCAAACTTAACCCTCCAGCTGCAATATTTGATTTTTCAAGTGGAAACTTACCAGATGTAATTAGATTAGTAGCAATATATGGGAAGTGGGGACTTTGTTTTCCCAATTTGATTTGCTAATCTGAATACATATTGTTCTAGTAAATATATTATTTTTGCAGACACGTGTGCTTTTCATCTTTCATTCCTAGGAAATTCTGCAAGTACACTGGTACTTAAAGCTTCCTATTTTTCCTTAATGCCCCAGACACAGAGAGAGAGAGAGAGAGAGAGAGAGAGTTTAATGGACCTAAAATCAAACCTTCATGAAGAGGGGTGACATATTGTGTCCAAAATTCATCAAAAAAGTGAAAACATCAGCGCACTATCATGTGATCAACATCAATATATTCTTACTTATATGCAAGTGTTCACTGTTGTTGTTTTGTTTTAAGTGGAGCTTTGATCAGCTTCCTCTTTAGTTTTTCCATGGATAAGATAATTAGGAACCAGCACTCAAAGAAATTTATATTTCTGATATTGTGATATCATGAACTCTCTGTTACTCTCTGATTGAACAACTGCAATCACATATTGTTCTCAAAGTCCTTTTTCTTCCCAACTAATTGCATATGCAGCTGTCAAGAAAATTTGTTTTCAACCTTGTTTTCTTCCCTCTCTGCATTTCCCAAATCCCATTTCTGTATCTCATCTTTTTAAAACCAAGCTCCAGGCATCTGTATGTCTCAGTTTCTCAAAATTGCTCCAGCTGTTTGACAGAGACAGGACAAAATTTAAGCCCCCCATTTGTTTAGAGAGAGCCATTGTTAGACCTGTAAACAAGCAGTAGAGTGATTAGTGGGTTTCAAACCGTAGTGGAGAACCCAATATGAGACTAGAAATGTTAATATATTTTATTGTGGGTTAAATTTTGAAATTGAAGGCAAATTAGGTCATGAATGGAACCAAGTAAAGGTGGGGCAATAGATTTAAAACTGGGGCTGCATTGGATTGTTTGGTGCTGATTTCATTTGAATGGAAAGAGCACTTATCTCTTTACACTGGAGCCTTTCCACAGCTGTATGCACTGCTTTGAAAGGCTAATTCAACTATCACAAAAAGCTTGGCTTTGCACTACATCTACAATATCACCAGATTGATTATCATGTACATTTTAAAATCAGCAGCTGTCTTACTAGTGCCACCATACTTTACCGAAAGCTGATTAAGACCATTCAAACCAAAGTTCAAATGCTTTATTTAAACAAAAACAAAAATTTCTCAAAGTTTTAGTCCTTTCTGCTTATATTTGCTACATTGATGTTGTACTTATAATCATAATTACGTAATTTTTAGGCCGTAATTGTAATTAGCAGACAACCAATATTTGCTATAACAAAATCTTGCCTAACTTTCAACTGTACCAGGCACAAGTACATACCTAATTTTATATATTTTAGCCTTGAAGGGTTCATAGTGCATGATGATTGATTACCACTATGTGGTGTATAGTATCCATATTAGGTCTTCTTTGAGATATTGATTCTCTATTTGTCCCTATATACTAAACTTTAATACAAGGGCAATGTTTTAGATATTATGTTATGTTATTTGTCCCTATATACTAAACTTTAATACAAGGGCAATGTTTTAGATATTATGTTATGTTGTTAAATAGTATGTTACGTTGTTAGATTGTCAATCGTGACACATATTTGAATAACATTTCATATAATGAACGTTCCAGATTGAGAGGATGTTAATTGGTTGACAAGAAAAGATTTCCCTTTGATACGAATCACATTATTACAAACATAAGATTGCCGTGTAATTTCGTTCTCATTGTAAATGATATGGTGGATCCTACTTCCTTATTTTCTGTGTGTATGAGAGAGAGAGAGAGAGAGAGAGAGAGAGAGAGAGAGAGAGAGATGACAACACTCCATTACTATATCAAATATTAAGGCCAAGAAACAGATCAATGGTTAGCCTATTACTAAATGGTTTAATTCTCATCAGGTTGAAGATATAAACAACCAAAATACAAAACCTTGACTAAAAAGCCTGTCCTTTCTTATGGGACACTAGAGCAACAAAAAGAGCACCTGCAATTTTGAAGGTGTATCCTACTCTCTACTAACAATATGCACACTTCACACCTACTTCCAAAGCTGGATAAGCCAAATTCCTCTTCTTTCGTGACTTCCTCTGTTACCAGAACACCTATCATGGCATGTCCTCACAAGTAAATGCTCAAGGTATTCCCGAAACTGTCGTCCCGAAGCCGATAAGATAAGCGTCTCATGACAAGCTGATGGGAGGAGGTAAACTTTGTTGTTGACAACCATCCAATATAGGAACTCCGCTATCTACGATATTAGTCGGCAAATTGGTTGGATCAACCACGTTGTTTGTTGTTTGCTGAAGAAGACGGAGAAGGGACCAGAATACATCTATCCTTGTAACATGCCTATTTGCCTGTAAACAAAGTTTAAGATTAATATCTTGGTAAGAAGAGAATAGAGAGGAAAGCTTAAAATTCATTTTTTTTATTTAGAAAGTAAGTATAATAAATTTCCATCAATATAAATTATGGGAAAAACTCTCTAAGATCATTAATATAAATCTCACTTTAGGTTTACCTCAACAATAAATCGTGCCCATATCTTATCCTCTCGACTCTCCATCTCCCCCTTCAAAATATTTAATCCAAAACCCCGGATTATGTCTGCTATCTCAAGGAAGAAACCTTGTTCCTCACAAAGCATCTGCAACAGAAACAATAAATATTGCAGTCAGGAGGAGGGATCAAAACATCAAAGTTGACAGAATACTCATGCCTTTTACATACCTCAATAAGCATTTGGCCAGGTGGACTAAGGTCCTCAACTATTATAGGGCAAACCACTGTTTGACCCTCGACTGCTAATGCCCACGTATTACCAGCAGATCGGTTGTTGTTGTCTTTTAGAACCACACCATTCTCCTTGCCAATTAGCTGCAAAATCCATCCAAAATATTGTCCCATTAGTTAACAAACATCAAACATATTTGGCTTGTTCTGTATATAACAGAAATAACTAAATCAACTAACCTTTGGCTCATGAGCCTGTTTAAGTTTATCCGCGTATTTCGTCACGCTTTGCAAGAAGAGCATGTATTTGATGGTTCGGTCCAACAACGAATCAATGCTACACTGTTGCATCAACCAAACATATGAATGTCAAAAACTTCACCAGAAACACATTGTACAATCTGACAATATGAGATTTGGTTTGCATCTCTTTCAAGAAAAAATTCCAAAGAATCAAACACTTTCCCATCTTATTATCTATTGATAGACAAAATAAAGATTAAGTACCTTGCCACCACTGGGGATGATCCCTCTCAACTCTTTCATACGGTCTTGGATCTGCTGACGATCCTTGGGCCTTGGTCGAGTACTCTCCCCAGGCCTTGCTCTTTTCCTGGTGGTCTTTGTGTGTTCCTCAGCCTGCTGTTGTTTATCTTGTGCAGCACTTCTAGCGTTGACACTATAGCTATCATCAATCCATAAACCGACCTGTGATTTTGGGAAAAAATCTTTCTTTGGTACAAGACTGTTTGTCTTGTCCAGGTTATACAAAGGCTCCATTGAATGCATGCTCCCACTAGAGCCAGCAAGCCTTGCAAACTGAACCTGGTTACTGTTCACAGATGAACATTCTGATTTCCTTTTTCGGGTGGTGGATGATAGGTCCTCTAGACTGCTTTTAAACACGGAGCTTGAAGTAGTACTTATACCATTTAAAAGCTCTTCCAATCCTAATTCCGAGAACAACCCTTTCCGAGGAGCAGTCATGGAACCAACTTCTGGCTCTGAGAAGCATTTGGTCAAAGCAGTACCAGTGGTCAAGTAGCCACCGCTGACTGCTGGCACCATAATATCTTCCCAACACTCCCCCACTTGACCGCACCCAAAATCTGGTCCCAAACCATCAAATAAACCATTTTCAGCATTCTGAATGATCACAGAATTCTCATGTCCACCAGCATTGAATGGATTTGTAATGGAACTGTGGACAGAATTATCTGGATGTTCAATTGGAGCATCAACAAACCTATCACCTTTAACCAGACTAGATGACCCCGAAGTACTTTCCATTACTTGTGAGAGGTCATCATTCAGTGCGGTTGCCATTCCATTGATGTTCTGTTCTGGTGAAGCAGCAAACCACTGGGAAAGATCATCCACCTGGCAGAATTTAGAGATATTTGTAGTAAAATCAGTTGGGTTAAACTCCACTGGGAAACCATGCAGAGATTGCTGGTTATCCATCTGATATCCACAGCTGCCTTGAATAGGTTTCTCCAAGTCAGCCAATGAAGTGAATGTTGATTCCACCTGAATATTCTGTGCTGTATTTCTGCAAGATTCATGAGAATCCTGAACCCTAATT